AAAAATCAATTTAAATTAATCAGAGTTTTTAAAAAGAAAGAAACAGGAAAAAATCAAGAAAAATGAAGAAAACAGAGAAAAACGAAAAGATCGCTTAAATCTAGAGTCATGTACCCCTCGGCGCCGGCGGCACCTGGCGGGAGGAGGGGAAGAGGGGCGGGAGCGGGTTGTTTTGGCGGGATGAAAGCGAGAGCGCAGCCAGCTTGTCTCGTCCGGCGGGACGCCATGTGGGTCACGACGGCGTAGTGCTGGCGCGTCAACGACGGTGTCATCCCATTGTGTCCGCGGCCCTTTAGGAGGCGCTGTTATTGGACGGGCGACAAGACAGCGCACGCCTCGGAGGCAGCGAGTCGCGCGTGACACAAACGCCCCCGGCGCTGCTCTGCAGAGAGGGGGGGAGGGAGAGAGAATGTCTAAGAGGAGCTGACGCCCTTTTCATCGCTGAGCAGGCGGTGCGGCGGCGCGGCGGGGCGGCGGGGGTGTTCGGTGTCCTGCTTTGACACGCCCCAGCGCGCGCGCACGGGCCATCGCGCAGCACAGTGCCGTGGCCACGGTATGACGTGCGGAAGTATGGAGCGCTTTGCTTGGGGCGGAGGGGCGAGCGAGCCGCCGATATGCTCTTGTGTTATTTTGGAGGTTAAAAGTTACCCTCTCACCGCTAGTGGCGACAGTCGCGGTTCTTTTTACTTGCGACCGCCGCCTTCACCGTCGGTTCACTTAGAGAGGGTCAGGGGTCATGACCCTGGCCCCATTCGCCCTTATGAACATGGGCGGTTAGTTAGTGGCCAACCTAAATAGCTGGGCTGGTAGGCAACTTGTCACTCGACCCTCCCTTCCAGAGTAAATCAGTAAATTCACCTGCTGCAGTGCCTTCTGTCGAGAAGGGCTGCCTAAAGGAGCCTGTGTGGCACTGCTCCTGGGTTTCGTAACCAGCAGCAGTGCCTGCGGCAGGCAACGGCAGCTGCAGCGGCCGCGGCCGCGCCGTGGTGGAGCGGAGCTGAGCGCGGCGTCGGGACGGCCGGGAGATAGGGAGGGGACTCACGCTTCTTGCCTCAGAGGGCCGCGACCTCCGACCCGCCACCTCTGAACTTGCGACGCCGCACGTCTGACATCCCCTTGTGGTGGCACGTGTGTGTGTGTGTGTGTGTGTGAGGGAGACCGAGGAGAGTGGACGCAGCTCGGTAAGGGTCAACACGATATCAGTGGCTTCATCACCTACAGACAGAGGACCGACGCAAAACCATGGTATGGGGCAGTTTGAATTTACAGGCGAGTAGTGTAATAAAAGAGGGATGAAACGGTTCCTATTTTTTGTGAGGAGGCGGGGTGGTGGTCAGAGAAACAGAGCCGGGGGGATTGAGCCGACATAACCTACCCTCCGCGCCGCCGAGCAGGGGGGAGACGTGCATATTGATTGGGATGCGGGAAAAGGGAGGAGGAAGAGGAGGGGTAAGCAGTGTGAATTAATCCGCTGGGTATGCAAAACCGGGGGCGCGCGCAAACATGCTTCCCTCAACCTCATCTTTTCAAAGCTCTGCTCGGCTTTGTGCCCGGAGCTGGCCGGAGCTGGCCGGAGCTGGCCTATAGCCTTGTAGCCCGGCTCCGGCTGCACCTACGGCTTTCATTAGGAGAGAGATCTGCTGCCGGAGGGCTGCTTGACGGGGTTCTAAGAAGCTGCTAACACATTGTGCCAGAAAGACCATACCGCGCTTGCTGATTGCCGAGGGTGTCCGTCCGGAGCGTGGGTGACACGCCGCAGGAGGACGGCACCAGCGAAGGACGCCGCCGAGCCGCACTGTACCCCGAGGGCGATTGCTTTTCCTCTACTTAAGGCGAGCCCAGCAGGCAGGAGACGACACAAAGAGCACTCACACACGCGCAACAATATGTTTGTGTGATCTGGTTTTTTGTTGTTTTTTTTTTTTCACCACTCCGTGTACATGTGCCGCGGCAGGCTTTTGCCTCCCGTCGCCTCGTGTGCGCAGCTCCTCTGTCAGGGCGAGCGGATAGGTGGCCCTCCCTCCAGGCGCTTTCACGCCGCCACATTTCATTTTCCCCGAAGTCCCTGGCTGCTGGGCCGGTCGAGCTTAGCCAACACCGCGTCGCATAATAATTCACAGGTAGCTTCAGGCCTCTTCATTTTTGCACCCAGCAGAGAATGTTATCATAATTAATAGTGTGATGATGAAAAGCAAGCACAGCAGCATACAGCCATATTTCGGCATACATGGTCGCGCCAGCCCCCTCGAAGAAGGCCTTCCTACAGAGCAACGCTTTGTATTTCAAAGAAGAAAATGGAAGCAATCAGACGGCAAAATTTCGTTGTAATGGCGTTTTACAGTGCATTGCTTTGTAAAGTTATTTCCTCAGTGCAGAATATCTCTGCAAGGTGCTAAGCAATGACCAACAGCGCCTGTAAGTATAGGCAACCCAACGTGCGCGTAGCGATGCTGTGCAGTCCAGGGTACAGGCGTGCTCCTGCGCCTACCCATTAGGCCACCCAACGGGCACCTCGAGCTGCCTCCCCTCCTCCGCCGTGTGTAACTCGAAGACGGGCCCGATCTTGTTTTGTGTGAAACTTTCTTTGAGACTCAATTACTTCGAGAATCTTGTTTTGATTCCGATAAAGCCCCAAAGCACCCCCGTCGGTGCCGTGCTCGCGGTGTCTGCACCGAAAGATGCCTCTGCTGACGTTATCGGCCAGGCTTGGAATATCGGCGTTGTGTCGCGGCCGTCCGTTTACTGCACGAAGGTTTCCGGGGTACACTGCTATCTTCCTGGTAAAGAAATTATCTGATAAGAGTAATATTAAAATCAAAATTATGATATGCTTCGTGCTGTTTTATGAATCCGAATCAATAGGAATTTAGTATATTTCAGCAGAAAAGGGGGATATCTACTGATTGTTCTATGCAAATCCAAATGTTTACTTATATGCTACTTAGGGCCTACCCTCAACTCCTGAAAAAAAGGTAATGAAAGCACCGCTGATAAGTTTTGTACTTGAGAACTCGATTGTTTATGGTTTTGCCTGTTTGTGGCATTATTTTGTTCCAGTTTATGACTGTGCATGTTTGTGTATGCGTATTTTGGATGGAATTTTGGCTGTATAACAACATAAACATGCATGAATAGAGAGACGGTATTCAAGACAAGTGTGCTTGCGTCCAAGTATTAAGGTGGATTCAGAGTTCCCTAAAAGCGAGCGTGATTCTCACGCAAAGCGTGATTTTCACGCCCGGCGTGATGAAAGTCGATCCCTGATTGGCTGCGTGAAGCTTACGAAGCGTGAAAATCACGCCTGGCGTGAAAATAACGCTTGCGTTTCGTGAACTCTGAATCCACACTTACACACTTGGGTTTGCAGAGTACTGTTTCTGTATACGGACACAAACACTATTATAAAAGTACCTTTTAAGATTAAGGGACCAAGTGTTGTGTGATCAGTTTCTATCCCCTTTGACATAACTGGAGAGGCTACAAATTGACAAAACCTTACTCATGACAATTGTCATGGAGTTAACTTCTCATGTCGGCTTGGAGGAAAGAGAGCAGTGATTATTCGTTTTCACTTTTTTTTTTAAATAGCCTGAATTACTCCTTTGAACGTGATGCGAGTTGATGCATGCTTCCTTCAGGAGGGAGGACCCCAGCGGAAGACGGAAAAAACTTGAACGCGGTGACGTGTCATCGTCAAAGAAGAGGACCCTAGACGGTCAAGGTCTCAGCTGGAACGAAAAAGAAGAAAAAAAAAACAGAAGACACTAAAACGCCTACTGATTCTAGTTTAACAGGATGAAGCGCCACGTGCTCTAGTGTCATTCACCTCTTCTCGGTACGGCCGTCTATTGAACACGGAGGTTTATACAATCAGGAACGGCATGGTGTTCTGGTATGTGTCGCAGGACATTGAGAAAACACAAGGTTTGGTTTCAAGCTTTGGTGTGTGTGTGTGCGTGTGTGTGTGTGTCCGTGTCCGTGTGTCCGTGTCCGGTAGCATTGATGTAACGGCGGCTGGCCATTACGGCCGTGGTCTGTTTCTGGAGCAGAGAGCTGCCCTCTTGCTCTCGGACACATCGGCCGCCATTCAAACGGTGGACGGCAACCTGTCCGACCCCCTCCTCCCTTTTCCCCTGCCGCCGACCAATTCGGAAATGCCTACTAGTGGTAGTCTGGGCGGCCCACCCGGCTGAATACCACTCCCCTGGCCGCTGCCCAACCTCCGGTCGCCTCACCGCGATACGCTGCTGCTGCGGCGAAATTAAATCCCATTCGGAGAGAATCTTATGGAGCAGGGCGGGCGCGGCCAAGACCCGACCACGCCAAGGCTGGGCAAAGGGTCCTGGTTGTGCCCTACCCGGGGTCACGTTGGCCGCAGGCCCGCGCCCTAGGGAAGGACGACGGTGGTGGGGGGAGGAGGAGGAGACGCCCTTTGACGGGCCTCCCGTGGGGCCCGGCGGCGGCGGCCGGCCCAGGTCCCCTGTGGAGCCTAGCGTAGGCCACCCGCACGACTGCGCTGCACAGAACGATAAGCATATGCCTAACCGCAAGGCGTTAGCCAGGGCGCCAAGACTTAACACTTATGCGCAAGTCCCTTAAGGTTATTTACGCTGTTATAGTTATTTTGAAATTCCAACAGTGTGCTATAATCACACGGTTGGATTGAGCACGTGCACGTCAATTGAACACTAGAACACTATATTTCTCAGCGAAATTTTAGTGTGAATTTTGTAACGTTTAACACAACAACCACCACGTATATTTAAATCATCTGCAACTTTCAAAGAATTTGCAAAGAATTTCTTTGCAATAATTATTTAAAGGGGTATTTTTTCGATGAAGGAAAGTGAACTTTTCATGTCATTGGTCCAAATTGTAAATATCATCTTCCACAATAAGATAACGGAAAAGTCCTCCCCTCCCCCCTCCCTCTCCCTACCGCTCGCGCCCCCTCGCTCGTATGGCTGTCCATCATCAAGCAGCGACACTGCGTGTGTTGCGCCACGTGCCGAAGATGACGTCTCCATTCCTGGAGTAGCGACAGCCTCCTCTCCCCCCTGCCCCCTCCTCCCTCCTGGACCTACCCCTTCTCCCTCCCCTCTCATCAGATTTTCTCCTTTTTCGCCACTGGCAAGACCTAACCCCTCTCCTAAAGTCCAGAAAGGTGGGTTACACACAGCGTGTGCTGTGGTTTCGTGCTCTCTGTCCCACAACAAAACAAAACTATGTTCAATTTATCAAAATTACAACGAGGCTAAACATATCCATGAAGAAACGTTGCAGGGTTAGTGAAAAGGCAAATAAGGGAACTGTCGTACTTCGCTGGGAAGAAATAAAATGAAAATAGGAGCACGTCCTCTTCGCACCGCCGCGCGAGGTTCGAATTCCGGTTGTCGCCCGGAGCTGTCCGCCGCTATCCGCCCTCCGTCTCCTCCAGGCGCAGTTCACTTACTTGTCACGGCCGTCGCGGCGCTTTAGCTCCTCTCGCCTGTAGGACAGGCTGACAGCCGGACAACAGCCAGGACCCACGGACTGTGCGCACTTCGTTGCTAACCGTTTGCAAAAAATGAAACCAAATGAAATGAAAAAAATAAAATGCTGAACGCGCTCTTCCAAGCTATTTTGAAACAGTGGTAAAAAGGAAAGAAAGCTCTCCAGTTTTGTCTTTACCGAGGTAGCCTTGCGGCTTGGCGAGTCGATGGTGTATGAGAAACTGTCTAGTTCGGTCCAACCAGCTCCCTCCTCTGTAGACTTCAGAGAATCGGAAAGGCTGAAACTACTTTCTCATAGCGGCCAGTCAGCGAGTTTATTCTCATCTACTATTCCTTTTTATCAAGATTTATTGGAACAATATTTTCGCAATAATTGCCCTTACACATTAAATCCTTACGCATTGTGTTGTGCATAAAACATGCAGGATTTCATACAGCCATAATATTATTCACAATTTTATGCATAATCATGTACATTTTGTGCATATTATGCACAAGTTGTACATAAATATGTTTAAAACTTGTGCATATTTATAGCTGTATAAAATTCTGCATGTATGTATGCACAGTACAATGCATAAAGTGAGTAGAGTGTTCGTTGCAATTCGATAGCATTCTTTGCAGCTGGGAAATGCATTATTTCGCAATTGCCAATAAATGCCTCTAAGTCTAAAATGGTCCTGTTAAAAGCATTCAGCACGCAACTAGTATAATCTTATCTCCTGCGCGGGTGCGGACGGATTAGCTCAACGGGCCTCGCTTCGTCGTGAAAATGGTCCGTTCCTTCTCTTCTCGTCTGCCTCCCTCCCCCCTTTTCCTAGAGTTTGCGAGACTAGCAGGACTCCACCCCTCTCCTCCCTCTCCACCCACATCAAACTGAGCTGAGTGTGAGGATTGAGTGGACTGGGAGCTGAGCCGGGACTGCCGCCTCCTCCCCACGGAGCGCTGGAGGTGGAGGGTCGTCGCGCGCTTCGCGCTTCGCTTTGCACGCTTTTCAGGGCTGCGCTGGCTGTGCTGCCGACGGTACCGCCCGGCCCGCGCTGGCGACTCCTGAATGGTTCCTCGCCAACTGGTCCGTTCAGAGAGGGGGCGGAAAGGGAAAACTCTGCGCGCGGCTCGCTGCTGCTGCTCGGCCGGCGTGCTGTGGCGTGGGCGGGACGGGGTTCAAGTCGAACCCTCTGCGCCGCTGGGCTGGGGAGAGATGTGACCAATTACGCGTTTATTTATTTATTGCTGTCATCATTGTACGTTTTCGGAGAAAATTACCTGTTGTGGGAGGTGTCCGATAATGCTGGATAATATGTACCACCACCCCACTCCCCCTTTCCCTACAAACACACGAGGCATTGCAACATCCAGCAGCGAAGAATTGCGCACGACCCACACCCACAAAATAACAATGCTCGGGCGAACTTTCTGTTTTTTTGTTTGTTTTTTGTTTTCGACTTTTTTTTGCAATGTGTAGGATTTCTAGACACCGTTAAAAATTATCCCGATGAAATGTTTTCGGGAATGCCCCGGGGG